GCTAGGAACAGCAAGGAGAAAGCCTGCTGGCCACAACTGCCCAGGCACCTCCTCATCTGGGGCTTCAGGTGGGGCTGGTTGGGAGGAGGTCTCCCACCTGGGGCAAACTGCAGTGTCAAAACAGCTGGGTTTAGTCCAACCTGGGCTAAGTATGATGATAGCTGCACTCACCAACAACACATTTCCAACCTTTCCACGTGCAAAACATTCCTGGTGTCCCGAGGCTGCTAGGGCATCCATGGGGGAGCTGAGTTGCAGCAGACTTCAGAAGTGGGGTCTCCGTCTTCATTTGCTAATGAGGCCAGCAGTTCCTTGTCTCCTGCACGTTGTCCTCAGATTAAGCCTTGTCTTGTGACTTGCATACACAGAGTATTAAGAAATCAAATAAAATAATTAGGGGCCTGGTTCATTGCTCTGTCTTCCCAAGCAACAGGAAAAAGACTTTGAAGCCAGCAAAAAAGGGATTTAGGGTTGGGGTTTTTTTTAACATTTTTCTTCCTCCCCATTCTCCTTTCAGCAATCATCGTTTTACCAGCTTCTACAGGCAGGCTGGCCGGTGAGTATTGCTGTTAAGCAGCTTTCTGTGGTTTGGTTTTTCCTCCGCTTGGTCCTCAAAACCGCTGGGTTTTCCCTCTCTCCGAGCACTTCACCAGTGCACTTGGTTTTCCCAACGTTTCTCTTTTTAATCCAGAGAAAACCCGGCGCCCCTGGGCCCCCAGGACACCCAGGGAAAGCAGGAGCACCTGTAAGTAAGCAGAGCCCCCGTGTCCCCTCCGCGGTGGGGTGCTGCTTGGTCCCGCTGCCACCCCAGTTGGCCTGGGACAACTTGCGTGTCCCCAGTCACTGGCACAGTCCTGGGCTGCCCCAAAAAGTATCTGCTTCTGGCGGGCTGTAATTAAAGGCCTTGGGATTGGGTTTCAGAGGAGCCGAATGGTTCGTTTGTCTGCTTCCCACCGCAAAGCGGGTGATGTTTGATACCTGCCTGCCCGGGTCTCGTTGGCAGAGACAGCCCCTGCCCCTCGGCCTCTGCCAGCTGCGCCGTGCTGGCTTATTGTCC